GTATACAATGATATAATATCATTGGATTCAAATTTAATTCCACCCATCTCAGTAACTCACTTAACCAACTGTACAGCAGAGCGACATCCACTTTCCCGCTTTTTTATAACATATATTTTGGCAAAAATGATAACACAAATATGTATATACTTTGAATTTTTATAGCATAAAAATTTACCGCATGTTTATTAACATAGCTGGGTATAGAGAGCATAAATAAAAATGTGATAATTTTGATAAAAAAAAAAATGCAATTACTTTCGTTATAACTATCAGTAAAATTCAAAGAAATTATTTAATATTTTTATTGTTTTATTTCATACGGTATATTAATATTAATATTTTTCATTTATCTCAGTGACATCAGTTGAAGGTGAATCATTACTTTTATCAAAAGTGACAAGATCAGAAATGGGTGCATACCTATGCATTGCGGCCAACGGTGTACCACCATCGGTTAGTAAAAGACTGATGCTCCACGTTCATTGTAAGTATATATTTATATGAATTATTCATTTTAATATTCTATTCTATTATACATAAAGATACAGCTGAAAAATTATTGTTTATGATATATAGAGGAAAAAAGAAAAATCGACATAATTTCCTCCACCTATAGTATCCCCTGGCGATCGTTCAACAATAGCACAGTGAAACAGATTTAAAGTTTTTTTCGTCCCGATAGGGTTAGGTCTGATTAGCATTTATCACTGGTATCGAAAACGGTTCAAGTATAAAAGAGCATTAATAACGTCCACCTCTACTATCATTCTCTCTCACTCTTTTAAAATAAATTTATATATATATTGATTTGTATAAAAGCCGATATACAGTGCAAAACGGAATCAGCTGTCGACGAGAGCTATTTTTTTACTATAGAAAACTCGTCAAAAATGGAGAGAAAAAACTATTACCCCCTCACAAATCACTTTTTTAGGTAGAAGGGATGATATGAAGCCGGTAAAGCATTGTTGATGATCCCTATTGTGTGCTAAGCAAACGTGAATAAAATACCTATTGGGTTAAATATTAATTTTATCAATTTTAATATACGCTCAACAATTCACATTTCCAAACTAATTAGTTGATATAAATTAGTTATATAATACAAGTCACATCTTTCATAATTTACGAAAAACAAATAAAAAAAGAATCATTAATCAAATTTTATTGAAATTTTATGAAACAGAAGTGTTCAATTTACAAAAATTAGTTTAAAATTTTACATTTAAACCTTGTTTTTGATAACTTAATTCGATTAGTTATTAACAATTATGTATACAATATAATTGTTAAGTAAAAAATATTTGTTGAATAAACACACGAATGTGTTGAAATATGTTTTATTAATTCTTCATACGACTATTTAAAACAATTTTTTGATAATGCTTAGAAAATTTTTAAATAAATATCACTGTTGCAAAATAAAAATTAGTTATTTATTTATAAACCGATAAAAATAATCACTTTCGTCATGTACTTTTACCTATCACGAAAGGTTTGTATATTTTATAAATATATATAATATATATTATTTTTATTATTGGCTAGTTAAGCATCAACTTCATAGGTTATTACTTATTAGCTTTAACAAAAGTATTACATTTTTACATTATTATATGCTATTGTACAATTAAATTTTTTAGATATAAAATTATCCTTTAATAGTTAGAAAATGGACCAATTTCTTCGTACAGGTTGTTAGGGATTTTGAGTCTTTCCTAGCTTTATTGAAATTAGGACAATGRGCRATTATGTGTTTGATGGAGTAATTTTCATTGCATGTTAAACATAGAGGTGTATCTGTTTTTGCCATAAGGTGTCCATGTGTGGATTTTGTGTGGCCTATTCTAAGTTGATTCAGAATTACCTCATTTTTTCTAATTAGGTCAATGTATTTCGGCCAGTGTTCAACAAAGTGCTTAATTTCTCTTAACTTATTTTCCATGGTAGTGTGCCATTTAGTGTTCCAAAAATCAATGCAATATTTATATATACTTCCTTTTATGTCAACAAGTGATGAAAAAGTAATTATTTCACTGGTGGGACTATTTAATGCATTTATCGCTGCTTTATCTACCTCCTCATTTCCTTTTATATTGCAATGACCTGGGGTCTAAATGAATCCAATGTCTTTATTTGATGAGAAAAGAAGGTTACTAAAGGTATACATTTTTTTTTTATAGTAGGTCGATATCCAATAATAACAAAGCTAACTTATAGTCATATTATATTACACATTTATAAACCGTAAAATTCTGTAAATTAACTTTATTAAATATAGTAATTGTATACCTATTCACTTTCTACTTATTTTAAAATTTGGAGAAAACAATTAATAAGTATTAATTAATTTTAGATTAAATATTTCAATTTATCTTATCATGAAATATATTTTTAATATTTTATACTATTTATGCAAAGCCTTTTATTTTTCATAAAATTATTTGATTATATTATCTTTTTGAATACGTTAAATTTGTACATGAGTAATATGTACTAACTAGTATACAATGTTCACTGAATAAAAATAATACGTGTTAATAAATCTTTTTTTAGTCTACAACCAGTAAATAACGTAACGTAACTTGACAGTTTGAATAGCATACATAAAATACGACACATTTGTCACCACCATTGGTGAACGAGGTGAATGGTCAATAATTAATTAGGAAAGGGTTATACCGTTATACTAGTTGTCTTGGTTGTGACGAGACAAACGTTAATCTGTTTGGTGGTATTGCTGCATAGAATGTGTTGTTTAAAAAGGCTGTTCATTAGAGTCCGTTGACGTTTTTAGTCGCTATAATGGAATTTGTCCTGATACTGGAATAAATAGTCGTCGAACAAACCACTCCTGTCTACTATTATCCACTATGGTAGAAGGAAGATGGAAACAGCCGTGTATAATAAATACGTTTTCGAAATTGTGTTATCATTAGTTTCAAATAATTTATTTATTCTTAAATTACATCCCAACTCGCCTGTTCAAATGTAGKTACCAATTAAAAATATACATTAATATCAAAATAATATATTTTTAACAGATAATTTATTTTCTTTACAGTATGTCAAATACTATTTTAAATCGCATAGAAATTACAACAAAATATAAACCATTATCTACAATTTTTATACCTATCTAGTATCTATAATACATTATAACGCATAAAATACATATTCATATAAAATTTACAATAATGTTTCCTGCAAAACATATTGTAATTGGGAATCAATCATTAAATCTACTCAGTTTTAACCATATTTTATCGTATTCAAAACAATTTTAAAATTATTGTTAAATTATAATTATAATAATCCCGATCTTTCAAAGAACTAACATTGTATATTATAAATAACTAATTAACTACTATCCAAAAATTTGATCATTGTATACATAAAAATACTTCAAACAGTATTCTGCATATATATTATATAGGAATATAAAATAGGTAACGAATTTAAGTTTTCATTCTAAAAATTACAAATTAAAAAATGATGATTACAAAATATTGTTTTGTAAATATTAAAAGTGACTTGAAATTATGTGGAAAAAATATTTTCAAAAACGATTATAATTTTTGAAACAATGAGTGTTTATATTAAGTTATTAATCACGTAGTGCATCATAGTTAATATTTGTTTAATTTATGATGCTAAATTGCAGAAAATATAAAATATATGATAAGCAAAATATATTTTTAATGCAAAATTTAGTGTTTATCATAAAAAAAAGTTGTTAACTATACTATTATGAAGTATGACTAACCTAAATTTATTTATAAAAGTATGTCAATCTTCAAAAAAATATATAATTCATATTTATATGTAATAATTTTATAGTTTTATTTAAATGTTACCTTTAAAATAATGGAGATATAAAAATAATAAAAATTATCTGGATTGATACAAACAAAATTGAACAATTAAATATGAACAAACAATTATAGGTACTATGTAAATAAATTAAGGGTTTATTCACCTAATATTTTTAGTAAAATTTAAATATATATTTTTTTTTTAGTTAAATATAAAAATTTTAAGATTTATTGATAAAATTATTCTATCCTTTGATTATACTAATCATCTTAAATTTTTAATTAAATAATACATTTAGTTAACATGTTTTTATCAAATTATAAATAAATTAGATTATTCACTAACAATTTTATTTGATGCTTCTATATGTATTGAAGTAACCTTTCCATGAATTCTAATTACTTTGGAAGTTGTTTAATCATACTATCCTTATGCATAAATATCTTGGTACCTTTTCAGCATACCTAAATACTTTATTTCGCATGTTTATTCAAAATATTTTTATAGTTACTTCAAAAACACCAAACAAATAAGAATTTACATTTGTGTGTAGAAATTGGTCAGCATAACAATATTTACCTATATGATTATGATACTCAAATATAATGCATTAAAAAATTTCTTTATCTTTAATATACAGAATTTTATTAGATTAATTRTTGAAAAAATAGTGTTTTTGCTTGTACATATTATTCATATTTTTACCTGCATTTACAATACATTATTAATAGACAACACATCAATTTTCAAACTTTTTTACAAATAAAAATAAATGAGGTGTATAATTTAAAACTATTTGTTTCATAAAAATTAAACTTATAAAAATGATATTGAATTTTGTCAGTTAATGTAATGTAAACCTATTATTTTATCGGATTAATAAAATAACTGTAGGATTGCATTGGAATCATCTAAAAAATGATGTTGATATCAAAAATATGTAATATATTTTAAAAATGTAAATCAAAAATTAAAAAAAGCAGGTAAGTGGATGTCGCTCTACTGTACATTAGGTGGTGGGGTGGACCTCTGACTAGGGTAGGTTAGATTTGAATGATGCAGTGATAGGTATCATTGTATACGAAAAACGATTCTGAACGGAGATGATTTGTCAGTCTAGGATATATTATATTTAAATATTCTCATGTTTTCTATTTTGAAACAAATATTTTATTTTTCAATTAAGACGCATTTTGCATAAGGCATGGTTAATCAATTA